ATCAACTACAGGTGCCAGGTTAGCAAAATAGATCGGGAACCCGCCATGCTTTTGTCAGAGATAAAGGATAATGGAGAGAGGCAGTCGGGGTTCGTAGCCGTAATGGAGGAATGCATTACGACACGCATTGGGGGGAGTGTAGAATAGAGCTTAGTAAATGGCATTACAACACACGAGGGGACAGAGTAGTCCCGGAAACTTTTTTGTGCTTGCCTTTCACTTCCATCTCTACATCTCGCATTGCTATTAGTATCTGGTTATTTATCTGCACATCACCTGATACGTTCCCCGTTCTTCGACGTTTCTCTTTACGCTTCTAACATCCGATTATAATTTTTGTTCTGCCGCAATTTTCTTCATGCCGTTTTCACTAACGACTGTGTTCGGATGCCGTATGTCTATTTGGCATGCTTAGGCACCCCACCCAAAGGAATCCTAGATGTCATCAAGGATATTCAAAGCAACTTCCATCCTCGTGTCGTTAGATCAGCAAATGCTCCATTGCTATCTGAGCTCATGCCTTTGCAAGAACGCCCTATGGAGAACGCAATCGGTATAGTTGTAGGAAATGTGCAAGGTTACTTGGCTTGGACGGGAAACAAAAATGTTGCAAAGACGGAGAGTACGTTCCTTGTATGCAGTGGAACAGCTGGCATAGGTAACAATAATTCCATATAATTATTAACACTCTCATGCAATAACAAATATGTTAACCACTCAAAATTGAATTTATTAGGGAAAACGCGATACGGGCAAGAGCTGTTCGGCACCTTACAAAGTAAACTTTCACCTGCCGCCCAAGAAAAGGGTTTTGACTTCTCGCCCTGTTACTACTACATGCTGCTTGATTTCAGCAACGGCGTTAGTTTGGGTCTGGAAGAAGAAAAACTCTCACCTGAAATCATTCTTGGCTTGCGCCTGGCTTACTCTTACTTCATCCAAGGCAAATATCAAGAACAATTTCCGGAATTTCGCTTTAAAGCCCTCAATTATTTTGGCTACTTTACAATTACCAATGTCATCATCGCCATTCGCAATGACTTGGGGTTGCAACCAGACCAAGAATTTTTCCTTTTCCTCCATGTTGATGAATACCAAGTGATATTCAACTACTCTTGGCATGGCACACCAGAGAGACACTGACCTATGCCACCAGCTGAAGATACCGAGCTTTGTCTGGCTGGAACAAAACCTCCCACAGAAGATGGCCTATCCCTATTCAAGGAGATGATGCACCGCCTTGGACATTTCATGAGTGGCGCGACCAGGCCCTCCATCATACAGACTTTTCTCTCTGGAACGGCTCAGCAGGAAGTGACTCAGTCTGCAAAACCTACCTTTTATTCTTTCCACTTTCTCAGCTGTCCAGTATTATCTTTGGGAGCACGCTACAACATTATGGGCCATTTTGCTAAGCAATTCCAAGTCCCCTGCCGCAAGTGGATGCCAAAGATGCCAATATTTCATTTGCTATCTGACACAGGTGGCCTCCCACACGCAGTGCAATTTTTATTAGAAGAGTTCTTTGGCCGTCAATTGGAGAAAGCCAACACTTTTTTTGATGATGTGGAGAATATCAACAAGAATATTGATAGAATCTTTACAGAAGTAGCAAAAGTTCTCGACAGCTGTTACTCTATCCCTGACTTTGCTAGAGAGCATCAGCAACTTGTTCACGCACTTGTTTGACTATGCATTCTTGGGAAACCTTTACCACGGACATATGTTCCATCCCAAGATCATTTTCCAAAACTCACTTTGGAGGTCCTAGAACGTGACACACATACAATTCTAAATGACTGCGAAGAAGACACTGGCAAAGTATTGGTTCAAATTCCCTTCTTCTTCCTCTACCTTTACAACAATGTTATCAGGGATATTCAAGACAACCTAGAGTTTGCATTCTTAATGAATTGGAAGTCGAATCGAGAATGGAAATACTTTGAACAGTTCATTGCTGAGTATGAAGTGTATCGCACGAACCTTCTTGTTAGCCATGGCTACAAAACAATGACTCTCGGAGAAATCTACCAAGGTGCTATTGGGTGACCAGAAACTTTATGCTGTACTGTCAAGCTCAAGGAATTAAAGCTTGTTGAAGCAGACCACAAATTCCCAGAGACAGAAGAATTGACGATTTGTGATGAGCAAATGGACTTAGGACTGGCGGTCAGATATTGTAATCATGAATAAGGATGGCGCGTCATTTGGAGACGTGTGCATTTATCGTGAAGGTGCTGACAATAATGAGAACATCATCTGTGCACTGCAAGCGAAAAAGTGGAAGAAACCAGTCCCAATTGACCTGCTTACTAAAGAGCACACAATGAACACAGAAACTATTCGAAACATACAACAAGGATCAACATTGGATAATCAAAGAATTAAAAATGCACGCACCATTACTGTGCTTATCACCACAGCAAATGTTACAGAGCAAGCATATTGGCAATTCAGTAATCCTAATTTTTTTCCTGAAGATTGTCTTTTGATATACCAGGGAAATTTCAGCAAATTTTTTGGTGACACATTCAGTTCTCATGCCGCCCTTTCAATGACAAAGGATTTTAACTTGAATTTTGCTACCTGAGAGACTTTAAAAAAGAGGCTTCATTTCAATGATGCAGACGTCGAGAAGATCTTGGATAATATGCCCTACCATTCTTCTGAAGATCTTTTGCAAAAACTTCCTGCATTTAATAGATACAAAGGACTTGTCGAGGAAATGCAATTTTTGCCCTATCAACCAGAAAAAAGATGCCGTATAGGTTAAAGTAATGCGCGTTTACCATACTTTTGATAGGTTTCTAAATAACAATCATACTTTGTCAAAATAGCATCTAGATAAAATAATGCATTGGCTACTGCAGTTGGGAAATGGCGCATAATAAACACATGATGTTCATAAAAAAATTTTTTTTTAAGTCCTTTGTAGTTTTACAACCACTCATAAGTAACAGTTTATCATAGTACTCTGAAAGGTGCCGGTCTAAACCGGTGCCTCTCTTTATTCTGCAAGGAAAAGAGTATTCCGCTCGACCAAAATGCCAATTTTTACATAGTTATCGTTATGCTCACTTTTGTTTGGTTTTGTTGCAGGCGATTTTGGTGACAGCGTGGGAAAAATAGAAAATACGTGCTCTGTGGCGTAGAAACTCTAGTAACAGCAAAATGTATATAAGGAGCCGTCCCGACCATCAAAAATCCTCATGTTATGTTGAAATCGTTGATGTTATAAAATAAATAATATTCGATACTGAAGTATTCGGGTATAATAAGCGATCGATCTGATCTTTATCCTTTAATTATTACGAAACTTTTTACTTCCATTATTTCTATCGTCGTGAAAACTAAGCTTTTTGACTTAACTATCGGCAGTAGATCGGTAACG